TCTGAAGGCTAGTTGACCAGGTATATATTTTAAGAATAATTATGTTCTGATAGGAAAAGAAGTGAGCTATAGTTTTATTTTAGCTATTGTTTTAGTTAGAGATTTGTGTGGTTTTCATAAATATCTTTAAATTATAGAATCTTCGCAATGTTTTAACTGCTTCCTCATTTTAAAGAAGAACGTCATTTTGTATTTTACTCGTTTTTTGTGTTTCAATTACCAAGTTACAGCCAGAAAGTTATCTGTTTAAGGTCTGTGCCTGGCAAACAATTCGGAACTCGATTTCTTTTGACAAATTCGGTGCTTACCCTTATCGCACCTTAACGCGGTGCTTAAGTGGCCATTGCCGAGTCAGAAAAGAGGCTGCTAATTTTTTTCAAGCATCCTCCGCTCGCCCCCCGTCTGCAGACCTTCAGTTTCAGTTTTACAACCAATAAAAAGATTTTTATGACCACAAACATTAAAATGTTCAAATTGAAAATAAGCAGAAAACAAAACACGACGCACAAAGCAACAAAAGCGGAACATGAAAGGAGCAGGGCCAGCTCCAGGGAACACGAAAAGTGGAGGAAAGCAGCACGGGATACATTTTAAACCAAATTTATGTGTGGCACAAAGGCAGCGCTGAAAGCTGAAAGCTGAAGGAAGCGGAAGTTGGGCACCCGGGGAATCCAGGGGATCCGAAGGGCCCCGACTTTGGCAGGATGGTGAGGTGAGGTTACCGGGGGCCAGCTCCTGTCAGTGGCAAATAAAAGTCCAAAGACGCAGCCCGCTTAATGTGTGTGTTTGAAGTTGGCCAACAGGCTAACGCCCAAATGGGGAGTGGCGGCTGCCAAAGGACGAAGACAATGCTGGGAAATTACCAAAGCACAAGAGCCAATTCGAGGATGAAAATGTAAGCAAGAGGAAAGAAAAAAGAGAGGAGCAAAATCCAAGGGAAGGCAGGCGAAATGTGTGTCGCAATTGGTAAGACCTGTACAACGGGGCGGATTGAAGGCGGCGGTTTGAGGTGTACAACAGGGCGGATGGAAAAGCGGTAGCAGGCAGCGCCGCAACAAAATCAACAGTTAGCCAATGAGCCTGGAAGTGGCAGAGAGGATGGAAACGGGAAAACAACCCGTTAACATGAAAAGAGAGAGACGGACGCCAACCCGGGTAACGACTTGGGTGGCACCAGGTGGCAGCAGTCTGGTGCTTTAGGTGCCTTGGGTGGGTGAAAATCCACGTGGGCCCTGCCAGAAGTTGCACAAGACAATTATAAACGTAATGGCAACAACAGTTAGCCAAAGCAGAGGACCAAACAAAGGGAGAGTGGATGGAAAAAGTATCGTTAGTGAGCAGCAGCTGAACGCATAAATTCTGTTTAACAATGTCAAGTGGGGGTGGAAGACCGGTGGGAAAAACCCAGGGAAAACTGGTAAGACGCTGCGAACATCGCGTAGGTGTTGGTCGTTAGGCTAAAAAGCTAACGCAGATAATGTTCGTCCAGCTATTGCCCTCTCCCTCTTTCATTCTCTATCCCCAACTACAAGCACCCTTTTACACAGAAAAATGTTGCATTAAAAGAAATTTTAGTGGTTGGGGCTTGTAACCGTGTCAGGGTTGCTAAGGATTGCAGAGGAAATTAAAAAAAGGTGATTGGAAAAGATGTTTGGGCAAAGGCAAAGACTCGAAGGGAAATGGGAAAAGTTAGGCAAAAGCTAAGTGCTTAGAAGAAATTGAAAATGCTGAGATTGTATTGCCTTATCTTCATATAAGAGTTAAAATTGAAAAAGGGGGACTGTCATTAGGACGCGACCGAGATATAAATGTAGATAAAAAGGGGTGAAATGCAATAAAAGCAGCAAATGTGAGAAGGTAAAATATAGAAACAAATTTATAATTATTTTTTATTATTAATAATTAAAAATAGGGATTTTAAAGTAATCATATTGTTGATTCCGTTTTGAATATCTTTACTTTTTATTCAAGTAATTTAGGATTAAGGGTATTGCCCTTACTCAAATCGATTTCACATGAATGCAACTTGGCAACCCTGTCTGAGTTCACTTATTTCCACTTCCTTTCACCACCTGCACCTTATGCAATTGCGGCAGTAACTTCTGGACCCCATCCCCTGGATTACTATGGAGGCAGCGAAGGAGAAATTAGCAGGCAAACACGAGTAAAAGAAATAAATAAAACGAACGACAGGCAGACACGAACGAAGGCAACCGGGGATGGAAGTTGGCAGTTTGCAGTAAAAAAGGATAAACTGCGAGTGGATTGTGGGTGGCGGTGGGTGGAACCGTTGCGGAATGGCAGCCACACAAGCGACGTGCTCCCAACACTTCTTGAGTAATTCATAGAAAGGTCGTAAAAGTCGAGTCAAAGTAATTATGCTGGGAAAAAGGAAGCGAACTGAAGCCAGGATCCTGGATTCGGGATACAGGATTCAGGATCCAGGACCCGGGTCATTTGGGTTGTATGCAAGAGTTGTTAAGAAAAATACACATACACACACGCACACATCCGATGAGACTTGCGTTAATTGAGTGGGCCGCGCATGTGGGCGGGTCTGGGTGATGGAACGTGGACGGGGGGCGTGGCTGAGTGGGCGCGCTAAAGTGGCAGCCGCCGCCTTGCACCTTCTCCTTTCAACGGCGGCATCAAGTGGCAAAAGCCGCAGAAGTATGCAACAATTTTCAGCCGTGAGCGGATTTAACCCGGGCTCCGCCAGCGTAAAGGTGTAATGAATGTGCCTGAGGCGCTCCTTTATATACGGCATTACAATTCGCCTTTAATTGCTGAAAGCCCACAAATTACAAAAAGGAAAGACGGATGGGCTAATGAAACATGCGGGTGCAAGGCAAACGGAAGAGAATTCTCAGTGGATATGCAAGCGGAATTACGCGATTCCCGAGGTTACTATTTGCATTTAAATCAGCCGAAGGATAATGGTTTATTTCAATGGTAGTAATAAAATATAAGAAACCAATCTTAAAGATAGTTAAGCAAAACCAAATTAGTAATTTAAGATTGGCCAAATACTTTGTCTTCATATCTTTGTCTTAATTGTTGATAAAGTTTAATGGTTTTCAGTTAATTGCATTTAAAAAACATGTATAGATAACAAGTATAAGTTTTAGTACTCTATAAAATTTAAAATCAATCAAAATTTAACATCATTAGATTATTGATTCATTATTAACAATCATAATATCAAAATCAATGATATAAGTCCTCAACTATACATTATCCCATTAATTAATCGGTACTTTGTATTTAATTTTCCGCAAGCCACCATCTATAGCATGCACAGACATAATGCTAACTGATTTTGAAATCGATCTATCGTCAAGTTAAATTGCCATTTTCAATCCAAGTGCTGCAAAGGGTAATAATTACAGCTCGTCTCATTAACCATTGGGTATTAGTTGCATTTTGTGCAATTAGCAGGAGCCAGTGTACCGCCATCGACTTGCCAACTGGCTCAAGGATAAATGGATGCCAGCACACACACAGCTGCACAATGGCGCACACACTCGTGCACAAATGCAGCACCCTATTGACATTAATTGAATGAACCAATATGGACAGTTAGTTATTGAAACATGTCAGGATAAAAGGGGTTGGGGTGGTGCAGGATGGCAGGATGGTTGGGTGGTGCTGGCTAAGCAAACATGTTGTATAACGCGGGGCTTGGACAAATGAGAGGAGCAGCCATCGATGACGAATGTGTGCATGTCAGAATGGCTGCCAACTTGACTCGCCCGAAAGAGATCTCGGCGAAACGGAATTGCCTTGACACTTGACATTTGACAGCTCAGAAAAATCCAAAAAAAATTGTTGTGAAGCCTGCTTCAAATTTGACATATTGGATTCCTGCAAACGAAAGCCGATTTCGATTCGGCAGATCCTTATTTGCCATCCCCAACCCCCGACAACTACCCCCTCAATCAGCCCATCTTCAGCCAGCCTTTGTGTGCTTATGCTAATGTGCGTAAAAAGCATGCAAATTTCTCTGGAAAGGAATAAATCCAGGGAAAATTAAAGGGAGGCGATTGAATTGGTTCACATGCTTCACAGACTCCTATTTTTCCCCATGCTCCTTTTTTTTTTTGGTCCTCGCCCCCACTGAGATTGTACCAATGGACATCCTGCGGTGAGAGCTGCCAGGACCACGATTCATTTCCACGCCGCATATATGAATATAAATGCTGCATCACCATCAGCGCCTTGTTTTTGTTTTTACTGGCGTGCGCTGCGGTCGGAAAAGCCTCACGCAGAAATTGAGTTATAATATGGCCAGCCAGAGTGGGTGGTGATAGTGGGGGGTGACATCACCCCCCGCCTTATGTGCATGTATAGCATACATTTCAGGGCGTGTGCATCATTTAGCCTGTGTTTGCCAGTGGGCGGTTGGAAAAATTGCAAAATGGCCAACAAAAGCAAGAGCAACCATGGCCAAACGCTAAATAAACTATGCAAGAAATTTATGCAAATTTTATACAATGCTCAAGCATTTAAAACTGACTACCTACACTTTTGCACACGCAGAGGAGACAGAGGATGGGTCAAATGGTTTGTGGTGTTGTTGCTCTGGTTTGTCTATCTCCATGGGGCTTACAGTCAGGGCTAAAACTGATTACTTGCCTGGCCAGGAGAATGGCGGCGGAAAATGGGATTCCAAATACTGATTGCAAAAAAGCCACAAATTCGTGAAGAATGGGCAAACGATTGGGGTTGGTTGCAAAAATAGAATTTGTAGCAAAATATCAAAATAATATTTGCCGGCCTTGTGCATCACTTTATTATAATAGACATTTTTGATTACACCTTTAGAGAGATTCTTGAAAGTGCTCAAAAATTTTTAAATAAATTTAACGTAACAATTTTTAATAAGTTTATATTTACTTACGAAAAATGTAAAATATAAATAAAATAAAAGCTTTGATATGTACGTTTATAAATTGAAATTGCGCTAACTTCTGGACATGATAAATTTTAGTTTGCTTCAGCCAATAATTATTTCAGCCCCAACAAATGGCAAGGCAGCTTTACTGCCATTTTTTCTGCCAGAAAACAAACCGCCTCAACTTTGTCTTCGATGAAGGGTGTTTTTTTTTGGCCTGACGCTGCTCAAGCTTTTCCCGCTGACCAAGTCAAAATATTGCACTGGTCAACTATTGTGAACTGCGGTCAACGGGCCACTCCTTCAGAGCTCGGAGCTCTGAGCCCTGGGCCAGCACCTCGATGGCCGCACAGAGTAAACCGCGCTTGCTGCTGCGGTTGTCGGCAATTTGTGTTGCATTGTTTGAAATTTTCGGCAGCATTCTACGAGAAGCTGACAGACGGGCTTCCTCCAGCTTTGCGGTGGGTGGTGTTTTTTTCTCTCCGTTTCGAGATGTTAAAACAAATGTTGCTTTAATGCTGCGGTCTGGCCAGTTGACCAGTTGGCCTGACTGACGTTGGACCTCCAAGCCCCTCGGCCTTCATTTCCGGACAGCAACAAAAGCTATCCTGGCTAATGTGATTGCAGAATGGCGTGTTTCCGGCTGCAGGCAAGTCACTTCCAAATTGATTAAAACAAAGGATTTTCTAGACAGTCGACAATCAAGCCTAATGAAGACACAGAACCAAATTTGCTAGTTCATCCTGGTCCGGCCAACTTAGTTTATCCATGCGAATGGGGCAGGCCCCCTTCCACAGGAAATAAGCTCTGCAATAAACGCTTCCAGGATTAATTGTTTGCATAATCAGGCTTTTGCCGAAAGGGGTTTTACTGCCGCCTGGCTGCCATCTTGGCTGATTTACGGTGCGTATACGCAATATTTATGGCACCTTCAATTAATTGTGCGTTAGATTATTTAAACATGCTTTACGTAAGGGCCCTTGCGGCCCTCTTGAATTATTAGTAGGCATTAATTTTTCAGGAGCCTGGCTTAGCATTAGCAATAAGTTTCCCTCGTTCTGCACGTGTATGCCTTTTGGGTTTTGTTAGTTGGTCGAGGTGAGGGTGACACTTTAAGCCCTCAACGTTGATTGACTGCCGCCCCATCAACTTAGTTTTGGGTTAGGCAATTTTCGGGAGCACTCGCAAGCGCACAAAGGGCGAATCGGATCGTGGCTGATGGTATTGTATATACATATATTGTATGTTCCACATCCATTCTGATGCAACGATTTATACGCTCTGCTTGGCATTTGGTTTATCAATCAGCGAACATTTTCCATATATGCACGCCATATGCACACTATCCATTAATCATGACTCGTTCCCTGCCCTTGGACGCTTTGCATATTGATTTTCTTACGACCATCCCGAAACGAAACTGTTGTCCCAAATTAGGGCTCATTCTTTGGTCCTGCATATTCAGTAGTCCCATCTCGCATCATTTATTTCAATCGCCGCCAACAATGCAACCGGCTCGTCCCCATTTCCCAGTTTTCGACCATTTAAGCCTCACATCCCGCCCAACAATCGCATTGTTTTACTGGGCTGCGTTCCATGGGCTGGAGATAATTAAAACCGCAAATAGCGCCAGCAATGCATCAGCACGATGATCGTTGGCCGCAGAATAACGCATAATGCCAGCGGACTGAGCCAACAAACGATGACCAGCATCTATTATCCATTGTCTAGGCCATCCACCACCGCCATCCATATCCGATGACCACTCCTCCCCCAAAAAACCACTACTACTGATATGTGAGCCGTTGCTGCACACAATGCACCTTTCTTCCACACATATGCCACATATCCACAAGGCATACAATTTCAAAATTGTAATTATGCGCCACCAGCTGGCAGTTAATTACACTGTACAAAATATTTAATATGCAAAATCAACATGGCAAACCGCGCATACGCTCCGTTAAACCGTTTATTAGTTCTGGATTTCCATTTGATTTCGTTCGGGCAATAGATTTCACTGCTTCAATTAGCAGAATTAAAATGTTTACCCGTAGGATGCCGCAGCCACGGACTCTCTGAATTTTTCATTTGTTGCGGACGGCATTTTAAGCCGGCCATTTGTGGCATTCCTCCATCAGCAACGGATTTCTCCAGTTAATTTTGTCAACGTAAGAGGCTTAGCGGTGATGTGGGCGCGCTTTAAGGGATCATTAATTTATCGCTGAGGTGACTAGTTGTTGTGCCAATAAACTGTACCAAACTGTATTTTAAATGTAGAAAATCATTGGATTGAAACGAATCAGCTGTATCAAAATAGATTTTGCTCACTTAAATTCACTTGGAATTTCTGTATATTATATGAGCAGATATATAAAGCCAATAGGATGTATATCAGACTGTTCTCTTTGGTGATTCTGTGGTTATTGAATTATACGTATGCTGAACTACTAATTCTTGAAAGTGAGCTTAAATTGTCTATAAAAATCGTGTTCTACAATTTGCAAAATATTCTAGCTTGTGCCCATCGTGATGTGATGGTGAAGTGTGTACCAGTTTGTCCCAAGTTGTGCTCGAATTATCTTCAGATTCGCAAGTGCAGTCCAAAAAAATGCAAACGCGGATGCGCTTGTAAAAAGGGTTGGTTGCGAGATAAAAATGACCACGGCCTTTGTATTCCCCGAAATGATTGCAAGCGATATATCATAGAATAAAACATTTCTATAAACTGAAACTAAAGTATTCTGGCTGCTTTTCATGACATTTAAACTGTGAAATCGGGGGCAGAGAAAAATCTGACGACAATGGCCAAGATTTGCATTCCTATTTCTCATTTTCTTTTAATTTTCTGGGTCTTTTCAAGAGGCCCCATTTCCTATTGCCTTTCTACTCTTTCGCTTCGTCTGCTCGCGATATATGCGGCGCAATGGAAATGACATGCCCTTGTCAGAAATTCATATTGTGTTGACTTGCATTTGACAACTTAATGAATTTAGCTTTTCTACTCGACACATATAAAAGTCTATATACCACCCAGATCGTCTTAACCCCAATACGTGCTGATATTCGAACGCAATGCGCCCAATATTATATAAGCCCATCATCGCGAGAGCATTATGAGAAAACTTTTCAAACGAAAGTACCCCGCAAAAAATGTCAGTTACGTGCTCCATAAAGTGTCTGGCAGACCTGACCAATTCGAACAAAAAATATCTATATATTTATACATACACATATTTTAGTGGCCGATTTTTTAAGTTTTCTTTCTTTTTTTTTGACAATGTGCAAGTTTTTAGGTTGAAAAACTACTTTTTATACCCGTTACTCGTAGAGTAAAAGGGTATATTGTATTCGTGCAAAAGTATGTAACAGCTAGAAGTAAGCGTTTCCGACCCTATAAAGTATATATATTCTTGATCAGGGTCACTAGCCGAGTCGATATAGCCATGTCCGTCTGTCCGTCTGTCTGTCCGTCTGTCCGTCTGTCCGTCTGTCTGTCCGTATGAACGCTGAGATCTCGGAAACTATAAAAGCTAGAAGATTGGCATTTTGCAAGCAGATTCTAGGAGTTCCTACGCAGCGCAAGTTTGTTTCAAAATGGTGCCACGCCCCCTTTAACGCCCACAATCGCTTATATACGATTTTAAAAATTTAAATATTTCGGAAAAGTAAAAATGCAGTTTTATTGTGTTTATCAATACCTATCGAAATGTAGAAGAAATTTTTCAAATCGGACCATTCGTTAAAAAGTTATGCGTGATCAAAATTTCTATCTCCATCTCCCTCGCACTCCCTTTACCTGAGTAACGGGTATCTGATAGTCGGGGCACCCGACTATAGCGTTCTCTCTTGTTTTATTTATGTTGTACCAAAACACAACTTGAAGCGGAAGCGGCAGAGAATATAAGGTAGAACGTCAAGTGTTTGGTTCCGAAATCCTCACGCTTCTGAAAAGGACCGAGTTGTGTAGTAGGTAATTTGGTTTTATGCTTTATCGCTTGCTTGATTTTTATTATGATTATTATAGTGGGAATTACGATGCAACTTTTGGGCGCCCATTCCCAAAAACTTTTGCGATTTGGCTGGGACCGTGTAGGAAAGCGTTTTGTTGGTCTTCGTCGAGTTTTCTACAGATTTATTGGGTTAGCATTGGCATTTTCACTTCTTTGTTGTTCCTCTGAATGACAATGATGATGAGCATGTTGATAATAAGGCATGTGTCGGAGTTTTTGATGTCTTGATATGACTTTGATGGCTTTGGGAAAATGAGAAATGGATTGCCGTTGTGTCGGCGCATGTTTTGAGGAAGTGTTGAGTATAATTTGCTAATTTGCTAGCGTGAGTAAACTATAATATCTCTTATATCTATCACTCACGCACAATGTATTGAAGGATAAAGGACACTTACCTAAAAAGAGAAAGAGAAAGATAGATAATTAGTTACAAAACCATAAATAAAACTTAATCTATATGTTGTTATATTGTATCTTTGATTTGGTGAAGGGAATTTCCTACATTTTTTGAAACATATACAAAATAATCGTATTAGTTTATTGAAGATGAAGCAAAAATTGATTTCTACGCCTGATAGTTCCACCCAATACTCTGATTTCCGCAAATCCCATCAATGGATATGCTTCTGACATTGCAGCTTAGCCTAAACGAGCAGTTTTCCTGGTGGAAACTCACCCCACTATAAAATCCAAAGCATTAAGCCCTCAAAACCATTTTTTTGCTTGTTGCAATTGCTATGCAATGTTGGAAAAATCTTCAACCACAAAGGACTCAAAACCGAAAGCAAAACAAAACATCGAGGGTACAGTAAAACCGATGTTAAGCAGGGCCAGAGATGGGGGATTTTCCACCTTTCCGCCCCCTCCCCGTCCTTTTTCTTTTTTGCCTACACACATGCTTTACATATATGTATGTCTGCATGCAAAGAGCCTGGCCAACAATGGCGGACAGTTAAAGCCAAATCGGGGGCCATGGCGAGGGGTGAGAGAGGTGAGGGGGTGCCGCACAAAAGGCCACTAAAGAGACGTAGATGTAGGTGCCTCTGTGTGTTTGGGTAGATATATTTAACAGCAAAGTCAAGCGCTGCGATGTGCACAGCACAAAATCCAAATTTAATGACCAAGTAAAATAGACAGCAAACGAGAGCACCAGGATACGACAACCAGGATCCACATCCCTATATGTGTGTGTGTGTGTGTATGTCTGCAGGGCGGGGGCGTGGCACTAATGTTAGTTGAATGTTTGCTGAGCCTTTGTTATCGGCATGCGTCTTTTTGCAATTGGATATGCCTTTTATGCCTTTGGGCTGTGTTAATGTTGACAGTGTTCGTCGGAGAGCCAAGGACATGACAGGAGTTGCAAAACACAGCCAGCCATCGTGTTATTTAGTCCCACACTGAGGAGCCGGCATAAGGACCCTTTCGACCACGGCCTCGGGCCAAAAGGCATCGGCCTCGACATCGCCCCATCGCCCCATCGACATCCACACACAACTTTTGATGGCTGTCCCGCCAACTAGTTCATCTCCATCTCTCATCTTTTTGCTCCTGCTCTTCTGCATCCTGCTCCTTCCCATTCCTGGCACATTATGGCAAATTATGACATTGAGAAGTGGCCAGGAGGTGTCACATTTCTTGGTCGCCATTTTCCTTTTCGCAGCAATTTGTTGCTGGCATGTCATACATTAGCCACACATCCCCACACTGTTCGGAAAACAGAGGCTTAAATTAAGAGATAAGCTCTGGATTAACTTTTCAGTTTTTTAATAACAATGTAAGCTTCAATCAGGAAATGGAGCGCCTTCAGATCAAGCCTGAAACTAAATTCTGCCTTGCTTAAAATAAGATATAGCTAAAAGCAATCCTTTTGAAAATTGTCAAATAAAATTTGATACCCTTAAGACTTTTACTCCCGTTGTATTAAAAAATTATGTTTATTATACCCTTGCAGAGGGTATTATAATTTTGGTCAAAAGTGTGCAACGCAGTGAAGGAGACATCTCCGACCATATAAAGTATATATATTCTTGATCAGGATCACCTCCTGAGTTGATATAGCCATGTCCGTCTGTCCGTCTGTCCGTCTGTCTGTTTCTACGCAAACTAGTCTCTCAGTTTTAAAGCTATCGAATTGAAACTTTGCACACACCCTTCTTTCCTTTGCACGCAGTATATAAGTCGGAACGGCCGGGATCGGCCGACTATATCCTATAGCTGCCATATAACTGATTGATCGGAAATGCCATAACTTTTGTGTTTGTAAAGTTAGGAAGCTGGGATTTCCTATGGGTTTTATATTTGGCCAATCAATCCGACCTACCAAATTTCATAAGGATCGGCCGACTATATTCTATAGCTGCCATATAACTGATTGATCGGAAATGCCATAACTTTGGTGTTTGTAAAGTTAGGAAGCTGAGATTTCCTATGGGTTTTATATTTGGCCAATCAATCCGACCTACCAAATTTCATAAGGATCGGCCGACTATATTCTATAGCTGCCATATAACTGATTGATCGGAAATGCCATAACTTTTGTGTTTTTAAAGTTAGAAAGTTGGGATTTTTTATGAGTATTAAGAATGCATCATATGAATAATTTTGGAGAATATAATTTACAGAGTATTCTGCAAGGGTATATCAACTTCGGCTCCGCCCGAAGTTAGCTTTCCTTTCTTGTTTTTAAGCTGCCTTTAAAAATTTTAAAGCACTAAAAGTTTTCGTCCTTTAGATTTATGGCTAGAATTACGTTGGTGACTATTTAAGAATGGCTCTCAAAAAGTTTTTGTTTGCAATTTCCAGAACCCATTCTTGTTTTTACAGCTTTTATTTTTCAGTGTGCAACCAACACAAGTCGCGCAGAAATATTGGACTACGACGGAAATCGTCTTTTTCTGCCCACAGCTTGCAGTTTCGCTCTTTTTGCCAAGTGCTGCAAGTGCACTAGGCCCAGAAACAGAATTGTTGCGTACTTTGTAGCGTCTTCCACTCGGGCATGTCCTTGGTGTTTGTGCCGTTAAATTTTATTTTCATTGCAAATGCGTTTGTTGTTTATGCACTCTATGCGCCAACTGAAACTGAACTAAAAGTAAGGCAGCCAAACAAAAAGTCTTACCACTTCTCGACTATTTTCACAGTTGTTCTTATTGCTGTTGCTGGCATTTGTTTTTGTTTAGTTTGTTGTTTCACTGGCCACGTTTTTGTTTTTGCTGCTGATTTCGTTTTGTTTTGCATTACAAATAACTTTTTTTGCAGTACGTGCGAGCATTTTAACATTTCAACATTTTCATTGCGTCTCGCTGGGTGAAGTGTTCAAATTTATGCGCATACATTGTTGGGGAGCATTCATTCATGCGTTTCCAGTTCTCAGTTCCATAGTTCCCGAAACCCAGCCAACACCCCCAATGCAGTTGATTTCACGATTCATGCATAATTACGGGGACTCGTAGCTCACACAAAATAAGGCAGAGTATGCATAGACATTTTGTATGACCTGCATAAATAAATCAAACGTGGAATTCCAAATGACACCGAAATATTTGTATCACATTGTGCGATGTTAATCACGTTTGCTAGATCTAATCCTAAGGAATTAAAGGAAGCCCCTAGACGAAAATGATAAATGGCCTTCAGCAGATTTGATTGTTATATTTAAATTACTAAATCTCGGCTTAGTTGCCTAGTTCTCCGAATTTTTTTGGGTATCATTAAAGTGGATTTAGTTCCAGCAATAAACGTTCATTCTCACATTCAAAACTTTAACAAAGCAAAAGCTTTTAACACAAAATGTTAGTCTCCTGCAAAAGTTTGGGCATTAAAAACCCCAGAAATGTTAATGCGACAAAGTGTAAATTGAATTCAAGTGTGTGGGAAAGATATTTGAGTCCTGGGTTCTATCCTCCAGCCATTAGGTTTATGTGCGAAGTTGTGGCATTTCTATCCTGGGGTCAATTGAAAGCAATTAAAATTCTAGTTTGGCAATAGGAAAAGTTACAAAGCTGGAAATTATGCTACAGTTTCAGGGCGGCAGAACTTTTTCATAAGCTGCGCGAGATTTCCACAATGAACACAGGCAAAGGGAAATCAGGGCATGACGGAGATTAAAAGAGAAAAGAGAAGTGGAGGGCTTTTCATCATAAGCCAAGGAAAGATGATGATGTTATTATTATTATTTCATCTTCAAGGACTTGAGAGGCAACCGCAGTATTTTTCAAAGGCTTTTCATTTCCTTCACCGAGTCTGGGTGGAAATTAATGTGTCACTCAACATGGCTGTCAATGCAAATTCAAAAATAAAATATACTCAGTGAACTCTAAATTAATAGCCCGCCACTCATTGTTATAGGAACAGACGATGAGCCCGCAGCCAACCAGGCAGTAATTAAAAGATTAATTTTTAATGCGCTCTTAGTCAAAATGGGACTGTGTTCGTAGTGTGTGGGGCTCCGTAAAAATAAAAGGATTTGTGAAAACTAGTACACATATACGCGCCCCCATACTAACATTCTCACACATTGTAATTTATATCCCAGCTCTTGGGTTTCATCATCATCTGCCAGGCGAGTTTATGAGCCATTTTCACTACTTCCAACTCCGCAAACCCCCGCACAAATCCCTCCTCCTTGTTTGGTTTTGTTATTTTCCTTTTGTTTAATTTTTTATTATTATGCTCTTGGGCTCCTGTTTTTATACAGTTTTTTTTTTAATTCTTGCCGAGCATGCAGTGTAAATGAAATGTGTGTGAGCACACCTTTAAATTTTTAATACAGTTTGCCGTCCTCTGATTTTACACTCATTTCACGTTGCTTTTCGCTCGCGTCCTTCCTGCACTTGATTAAAAAACCAACGGACATCGAGGGTAGGCGGCCCGAAAGGATGTCAATTAATAATTGAAAGAGGAAAAAAAATAAATAAAAAATACGCGTGTAACGAGCCTCAGTCAAATATAAAAGTGTGAAATATTCAATCAGGAGCAATAATTTATTATATTCCGTTTATAATATATGCAGAAAAACAAAGTGAGATTTATTGATGCGAAATAAGTTTATTACGAATATTTGTGCCGGCAATTAAAGGAAAAAACAATACAAAAAAAACAATACAAAAAAAAAAATACATTTTATGAAAAATGATCAATTAAACACCTCTATATATACTGCCTATTTAGCTTTCCTCCAAAAGTGAAAACAACATTAATCGCCATTTTCCGCTCATTTTTCTCCCGCTTATCAACGTTCCTGTTCTATCAACAAAAACAGTTCCCTTCCCCCTTTAACATTCCTCGTCTGTTGTTGGTGGTTCGTGCACTATCATTAATATTTGAAATGCAGAAAAGTTGCCAGCACTTTTCCCTCTTGTTTTTTGTTTACAATCTCTAGCGACAAAGCGGGCGCATAATTAGCAGTGCAACAAAAACAAATAAAGCACCAGCAAACTATCTTTGGACAGCCAATTAGAGGAAAAGCGCTAGTGAGCGAAAAGTAGGCAGATAGAAGGCAGGTCCAAAAGCGTTGCTCAACCAAATAAACTTGACAAATTACATGGTTCGTTGCCGAAATCCAAACACATGTGCAAAATGAGGCACAAGCTTCGACTATTGTTTGTGATATTTAATTCGAAAACAAAAGGCATACGATTTGTGGAGAAAAAAACGAAACAAAAACAAATTTTTAGGGCATCGTAATTGATAACTAAATTGTTTGTGTTTGACTTTGATCATTTATTTATCAATTTCCAGCCATTAAAGAGTAATAGGATTATTATTAAATTTTTAGGGTGTCTCAAATATCAATATTATAGACCTTGTAGACTATTATTACCATTTTTCCCAGTGCAGTTATACCATAAATTGCAGTACAGAGTCAGGGGTTACCACACCGTAGGTGACCCATCGACACAATCACGCCACTCCCCTTCGGTTTTCTGCTAGTTGCTCTCTGCCCCCCAAGTTAACCAAGCGTATGACAAGCCGTCATTTACATCTGAGCTATGTAACTGCTATTGTGATGATTCTGCTCTTTTCTTTTCTACCTTTTTTGTTTGTACTTTTCCTGGTGACATTGACTGCCTGAACTAATAACCACATGAGCCTAAAGCCTGATTAAACTGCGGTTAATGAGCCCCGTCCCCAAGCGCCTTACATGGAAATTAATCCGAAAAGCGAGGGAGGGGTGGTGGGGCAGCCAGGTGTGCGCAGTGGTTCGTTTCAGTTGTCGCAAGGTGTTTTGGCTAACCACATAGCACAGGTTTCACCCGCGGCACTGACTTTGGTAATCGAGTGGCTCGCATCTCAAATGTCAACCGCCGAGCACTTGACCTTGTCATGTGGTGGGTGTACTAAGGTTGCGAGATGAGAAATCTGTCGAATCTTTTTCCCCCCACCTCAGCCCCTCCTGTACAACACAAACAAATAGTTTACTGTCAAAATTCAATGTACCCTACCATATTTGGATTTTTAGAAGACAAATTGAAGAGCGGAGCACTACGGAAAGTCGAGGAAACCAGCAACATCTGCACTATCTTTGCCACTAACATCCCCCAATGCCTTTCAAGAAAACGCCGAAGGTCGGAAAGCATCAGCTCAATCCGTACACGCGCTTCTTTGAAGCTCAGAAATCTCTGCCGCAGGAAAAGGGCGACTGTAATGGCCAAAAAACGGGCGTCTACAATCGTGAAAGCGTCTACGTCCTGTCGAATAAGCCCCGTGGCAAACGACGACAGGCTCGCGAAAGTAATCAACCCACATGGCGACGTCGTGGGGGCGGGGTAAACGAGGACCACATCATGGTCGTTACGCAGGATGACACGCAGCAGCAGAAGGATAAGCCGGTATTGACCGCCTCCCAACTAGATTCCATTTGCTATGACGTCATGAAGGAGCCGCCAATGCAGTTTCATGTGGATGGCACTGACATAGTGCCCAGTATCCGAGGCTTGAGGCTGAGCGTCTGTGTGGAGCACACCCGATTCCAACTGGTGGCGAAGGTGACCAGGAACATGGGCTTTCAGCATGTGCCCGAACATAGACTCTGGAATATCCAGTGGTCTGATTCGACGCCCCATCACGATCTGCTGCGAAGTATGAAGCGTTTTCAGCAGATCAACCATTTTCCCGGCATGGTGGAGATATGTCGCAAGGATCTGCTTTCAAGGAACCTGAATCGAATGCTTAAACTTTTCCCCGGCGACTATCGCATCTTTCCCAAGACCTGGTTAATGCCAACTGAGTGGGTTTTCTTTTTGATTTAACTGATTTTCTTCCTTAACTTGGTTTATCTATATTCTACACGGCAGTGCCTACAATGTGTCCATTTATGCCGGGAAACACAAGCGCACTTTCATCCTCAAGCCTTATTCTGCCGGTCAGGGGCGTGGCATCTGGATAACCACTGATCTTCGCACTGTGGCCAAACGGGAGAAGCTCATCTGCCAGACCTACATTGAGCGGGTAAGTTGATTTATTGTATACTTAAATCCTTTTATTCCCAATTTTCCTTGAAGCCCCTGCTGATTGACGGCTACAAATTCGATCTGCGAGTGTATACCCTAGTCACCTCAGTGGACCCTTTGCGCATTTTCGTATACAACGAAGGCCTCGCTCGCTTTGCCACCCACAAGTACGTGCCACCGACAATGGGCAACAGCCACAATGTGTTCATGCACCTGACCAACTACTGCCTGAATCGCCGGAACTCGCAGTACATGGTGGGAAATGGACCGGAGGCGGGTTCCAAACGGAAACTCAGTGCCTTCAACAAATGGCTAGTGGATCACCACTACGATGTGGCCGAGTTCTGGGCAAGTGTGGATGATGCTATCATCAAGACGGTGATCAGTGCTTGGCCCACTTTGAAGCACAACTACAACGTGTGCTTTCCGAAGCACGATAAGATACAGGCCAGCTTTCAGCTCCTGGGCTTCGATATCCTGGTGGACTGGAAGCTGAAGCCCTACATCCTGGAGGTCAATCACACGCCCAGTTTGAGTGCAGATGAATCGGTGGACATGGAAGTGAAGCGTCCACTCATTCGGGACACTCTAAACATGCTAAGCACGGCTTTGGTGGATAAAGAGCAGATCATTCGCGACGATCGAACTGAACATAGGGCCAGGCTATTGAGGAACATCTACAATAAGAAGGCCTCTGCCCAGATGCCCGGTTATTCGTCGCCAACCCGTGAAGCTGGTGGCAACGACGTGCGACAGGCCTGTTCCATTGGTGCACTCACCCAGCAGATTGCCTGGGAGGAAAGCCACCTGGGAAACTATCGACGCATCATGCCGCCGCGTGATTGCGAAAAAGTCAACTACTATTGCAAGTTCTACGAGCAGAATAAGCAGCCCATGTTCGCTGATACACTTTCTAGCCGGCGACGCGAGGAACTGAATCACCAGGTGGGTTTATATATTGGGGCTACCTTTCTTTGAGATTTGGAGGGTCTAAGGTAAAAAATGTTGATCATAAATAATCTTGAAATCACTATAGGCGATGCAGAAACGCCAGCAGGATCAGTATCAGCAGCAGCAACCCATGTTGTCTCAACGGATGGGCAAACATGTCCGTTGGCCAGGTGACCAGACGGATGGAACTCAGGTGAATCCAGTGATCCTGCAGTCGAGGCGACGTCGTGAGGAGGCGGAGGCTCAAGCGAAGAAGCATCGAGCTCTAATCGCTCGCGAGATTCAGCGCCAGAAGGAGCACCTGTTGGCACCGACTTGCGCCAAGGAGCGTCTGGGCATCTGGCAAAGTGTGCGCCGGGAAAAGGGCCGCAAGTTCTCGCCCAAACGTAGTAGCAGCATAACCAAAGCCCATCGCCGGAAGCAGCAGCGGAATCTTAGCCAGCGGGTACGTCATCAGCGGATGCTGGAAATGGAGGCCCAACGGGATGCCAAGTTCCTGGAGCAACACGCCAAAAAGCAACGACTTGAAGGTGGCAAGGTTGTGGGTCCATGCGAATCTCCGAGTATAAGAAGCAAGATCAGTGTTAAAAGCAAGGCCAGTGCAAAAAGCAAACTAAAGTCCAAGGGAAAGATAGTTCTCAAAAAGGCAATACTTCGGGAAAGCACCCACAGCCTGATGTCTAAGTCGAAGGAGCAGCTGGTATCTAGCTCCAAAACCCAACAATCCCTTCACTGGACAGCAGGCACCATCAGCGAAATGGAAAGAGACCAGCATCTCAGCTGGCGAAAGGAGAGGACCAATCAGCTGAATGACACACGACTCAGGGAATTGGTAAGACAAAACAAAATAAACCTAATGATCTCAAAAATATAATTTAAAAACAAATCCCATCACCTGCAGATCTTTTCTAAAATGTATGAAAACGGCCACCTGACCAAGAACGATATCAAGTGCTTTCCGGATCTGCTTTACCATATACTGAGCAAAGATTTCCAGGAAACGAATATTCCATAGAGGGATAGTGATTTTTGCATCTGGTTTTCTGGCCGATCTGTATGTGTTTTAGCTCAGTGAATTGTCTTTGCAGCCATTTTTTATATGGCCAACCCACTTGGTGTCGTTGAAATTAAAAATAAAACCTGCCGTCACAATACTAGAATGAAAACCTGGTTTTCTGAGTGAGGGATACCAATCAAAGTTCAATAGGCCTCACACATCGTTATCTATTGTTTTGCATATTTCCATAAAGGCAACTTTATGAGAGATTTTCCGTCGCAAACTGTGGCAAACATAAAAGAAGCACATAAAATAGCAGTTGCTGCTGAAAAGGGGATAGTATAATATGGTATAGGCGCGGCAAGGAAGCAAGGGAACCACCTCATCGATTTGTCAAACTTACATAGCAGAGAGGAAAAAAGAAAAAAAGGTACTACAGAGAAGGCTTCTATCTTCATATGCACACTGATAAAAATATATCATTATTTTTACTTTCTAATATAGATTCTAGAGGTTTTTGTCGAAGTAAAGTAAGCCTATTGATAAAATTTTCCATTAAAAACTCAGTTCTAAGTAAGATTCTGTATAAGCTTATGATATTTTACAATAATAATAATCTGGATTTGGAATATTGTTTTTCCTCAGTGTCCTCTCTCCTCTTTTTCACTGTAGTTCCATTTGCCGAGCATCTTTGCCATCTTTGATGGGCGCATGCATAAACAAAATGCAATACAATACGCGGCATGGGAGCTGTACAACGTGCATTATTGAAAACCTCAGTTGCCATGAGCCACGCCTCCTCTGTTGCCAGTGCCTTTACCTCTTTTTCCCCTTCCCTTTTCGTCCTTATCCATCTCGTCGTCCCCTCCCCGTGAGCCTCGAAAGGAGGCTTGCAGGGCTCGGGTTTTGGTTTTGGTTTAGGTCTATGGCTTTGGCTTTGGCTACAGCTTCGGCTTTTGCCGTCACCGCATGTCCTTCGCTGTAGTGAAGCCAGGCTACCCCCCTATCCACCCACCTCCCAACTGGATGGCTTTTGCCAGGCTACGCATTATGGTCTGCTGGATGCTGCTGCTCCGCTGCTTGTTCCGCCTGCCCCACCCTGCGCCTGCATGTGTCACATATTGCAAAAGCTGCAGCTGCCGTTACACATTCCTGGGCTTTAGCTTATGGCTGACTGCTGCTGCATTTTCCCTTATTTTTTCTTTACCAACAAAGTCGAACAGTGTTCTGATAAGCCGCCTCAAAGAGGGTTTTTACATATGCCTCCACTCCTGGGGTCGGTTGCATTTGCATTGTGGCTGGTGCTGCCGCTGCTGCTGCTGGTGCCACGCCTTCTGGCCTCCATGCTAATACATTATTGAACATTGTTGCCCTGCGATGGTGTCAGCTAATACCCGTCGTCGTTGCAACTTTTATTGCAATCTTTTTTTTTTTTTTGATATTTTCAGCAACTCTTCAACTTTAACATCTCGTGGCCTTTGTTGCAGAGTGTTTGTTGGGCTGCACAACCTTATCATCTATCATCTGGTTTTTTGCCCCCAACTCTCTGCCTTTTTTTGTTGGCCACTTTGCCTGCACATATGTCTGTGTGTGCACAAGCAAATTTCCTTTGATGCTTTTAGTGTCTTCTTATTAAAAAGTTTTTAATCTTATCCCGAAAGCTTTTTGTTCCATGCGGATAAGCGGCATGCCCTGCCCTTCCCCTTCACCTCGCTGCGGCAATGAGACAGGCAGCATAGCTCTGGAAAAGTTTGACTCGTAGCTCACTTTACTTTTCGTTTTGGCGTGTGTGGAAATGGAAGAGCACGAAATGGGAGTGGCAGTGGGAGTCTGCATTGTTGACAGAAGTTCCGGATGCTATTAGAGGTCGTTTAGTTTGCGATTAGTTAAGCCAAAGCTAGTTGGAGCGTGTGATGGAGCGTTCCTCGCCGACGAACGTGCCCGGCCCCAAGTTTTCCGAAAACTTTCCGGAAACAGTTTTCTTTTGGCCATGCTTCTTTTGAGTGTTGCAGAGGGAGAGAAATTGCATTTGCCAGAGGCACATATAAATTCAATTTTAAGTAGTCTAGAAAAGTGCTTTATAATTTACAGTTCAAGCTAGATTTAAAAACTCGGTCCATCCTTTATTGGCTTAATTGACTTAAACACTGCATACTCATTGCACTTCATAAGCTTCTGACCAATATGCAGATCAATTAATCTTTTCAACAGATCTTAACGCGTGAAATGAATCCTGCCCGCTGATACTCTTAAATCATACTCTTTATGACGCAGGAAATGCACTTAATCCGATTTGCAGGTTCATTAATACCGGAATGCGGCTCAATAACATGCTGATGTAACAGATATTTTACCAACTGCCAGAAGCTTTTAATTTGTGTCCCATAACGGGGGAGAAAGACGGAGAATTGTAAAGAGAATTGCTTAATTCCAGAACAAACACGCTTCTCCATGACGATGACTTAAGTCAACAGAAAGATTTATTTCCGCTGCAAAAGCTGCGAGAGGCTGGAAGCGAATGTGAATATAAATCCAGTGAGTCGGACTTTACGACAATGGGACCTGGGAAAAGTCATTCAGTCGAGTCGGACGAGCGAACGGAAAATCCTGCAGCACCAGGCGGCAGAGGCAGCCATTTTGTCGGATGCGAATTAACATGTCTGGGCTTTCTGGCTTTATCCACACACAGATACACACACACAGACACTTGCACGCATATGTACATACACCGATGCAAGTGCTGGCCCCAAATAATTTTCAGTTTTGTAGTTTTTATACTGCATGTTTTCCACTTCACAGGATTTTATGTTCCACTACACTCGCACTTGGCTCAAGTGTTGGAAAATACAATTGCCTCGGCACACACACTTTTCCCACACTGACGGTGGGAAAGAGATGGGAGTGAAACAGAGAGAGGTGGAACATTTCCACATTTTTGTTTTCCTTGGCTTTGTTGTACTGCTGCGCCGCCAAATGCTTTTGCCTTCTCTAAAAAAGACAATAAACTAAGCCAGTGTGCGTGTCTAGTTTTATTGTAGATGTTGTAAAGTCTACCCTATATTGCCAGGATATAGGACGACATAGGGTTGGGAAATGGGCCTTAGCCGCTTGATCCACATTTGAATGGAGTAACTTTATTTTCTACAACTCATTTTCACTTACTAAGCTGATCCTTTTCCGAAAATTTCAAATAATACTGTCAGTCTTAAATTACACAACTTTCGAAATTTACATAGCAACTATTACATTTCTTTATAAGAATAAGTTTTGAATACATATCGAATAAAATCTTGCATTAACTCTAAACTAAAGCTTTTATAAGTTTATTACACATTTTTAAATTTACTAATATTATTAATATAAATTTTGAAAAACTCTTAAAATTCCTAACATTGTTTAATTTAAGCTGAGTACGAAAATCTCGGACCCCTGTCTTAGCCTTTGTATGTGTCTATGCGTGGGGGTGCTTCGCACGTTATTCAGCCTCAGCACACTTGAGTACTTTATGCATTTTTTACATTTTGTCGGTGCATTGTGTTGTTTTTCTCTTCTCTTATAATTGTTGCTGTTGACGTTGCAGGTTGTTGCTCGCCTAACAATGCACTTCGACTAAACACTCATCCAAATCCCGGCCCATCTGCTAGCCCCACTTGTTGTTGCCTCTGCCCCATGTTAAGGACACTCACATTCCGGCCATTTTGTAGCTAAAAAGTATCAAATGTTGTGATAAGACCGGGCATCCCACAAAGCCAGATGCAATCAACACTCGTCTGTAGCCTAAGCTACAACAACATTCGGGGCCAGAGGCGACAGTGTGGCAAATAACTGTTTTCTTATCCCCTGCACACATGTCCATGTCTGAAAACTCCAGTCGAGTGTGTGACAAGTTTTCCAACAGCTACAAAACAAATTGCAATGGATTTTATTTTATTTTCTCCGATTTCTATCCCAAAAAAAACAAAAAAAAACAAATATCGCTTCATACATTTTGCCATACTAAGTATATGGAGGATATAAGGATATTATCGTCGTAAAATATAAAGTATATATGGAAGGAGATGCTGCAGAGAGAGAAAGAGTAAAATATAGATATATATTGCTGTGTGTACTTACAACTGTGATGGGATAAAAAGGATTTATGATGGTGAAGAGTAGAATGTGATTTGGCCGTGTAGTCTCGGGACGCTTTCTCCGTAGGTCGTCATTTGACTTGTTCATAAGTGCTTGCTGCTGGTTCTGTTGTTGTGTGGACTGTAAAAATATGTACACAAACACATATATATCGGATAAATATCGGGCTTTGTGGTGACGAAAAGTATAACAACAGATTTATCAATATACAGTAAATAAGCCTGGCTTTTTCGTGGTCTGAGCGAGTGTGCAGCATGTGCATATCTGTGTTTATTTTAGTTTATGAAGCGGCTCTTATGTTATTTGTCATAAAATCAGATTAGTAAACAGTTCACATTGCACAAGAATTATTTTAAGAATATAATAATAAAGTACTTCAGAAATAAACTACAAAGTACGCCATTTCTCAGTAGCCATTTATTTTCAAACATTTTTATTGTATGATCTTTTATCTAAACAAAATGATTTTCTGCCTCTGTTGTATAATTTAAGCCAATTTGTATGCTAATACATTTTTAAAAGATACTTCACCTAAACCAGTTTATTTTAAATTGTATATCAACACTCTAAAAAACTTGTCTGGCAATAAACTAATTGTGCAAATAATTTGATGCACTATCTTGGATAAGAGGTAATCAACGGAATTAATCATTCTAAGCTAACCCTTTTATGGGTACCTCTATTAGTTAAAATAATTGTCCGCTCTGAATGTAAAATATTCGATTAATTTTCCGAACAAATGTTTTATGATTACACACTTAACAAATTGTTTTAATGTAGTTACAGTTTTGAAATGCTATCTATTGTTACAAGATAATATTATTAAATATTTCATAGTTCTGGAAATAATTATACCAACTCAGCTACTTTATCACAATCGCCCCGATCGCTTACGTAAAACCAAACGAATTGATTTTCTGCACTAATGGCATAATTTAAGCCAATGCAAAAACACATTTTCTATGGCTGAGTGCAAAAATTTAAGTCAACACAAAGTTTGCACAATTTTTTCACGTTAATTGACGCTGTCATGGCGATATGTTGAATGCTCAATGCTGAGTATTGTGGAAAAGGCAGCAGCAGGGTTAAAAACCAGAATTTTTGGTTTGGCAGGCATTGCTAACATAATTTCCGTTTTGTTTTCGGTTTGCTCATTTTTTCGAAATAAATTACGGAATTTAGGTGAACCATGTTTATGTCACGTTCGAATGTCAATCAGCGACGACAACTGCCGTGAATTTAAATATTTCAAATATTCCCCGCCAGCGGACAGGTGTTTGGGCCACTTGGTCTTGACACCAAAAATTCCGTTGATGCCCGCACTAATTAACTCGGTACTTAGAAGGTGGTAAAACTTGGATAATTTCTAATCATTACATGGGTTTTCCATCTGCCCCGCAACACCTTGACATTTTCTTAACTTTTCCAACAGTTTGTCCGCTCGTTTTTCTAGTCCTTCGCTTACACAACTTGAACATGTCAGTGATGGTGTCGGCAATCCGCTAACTACTAATTACTATTAAAGTTAATTAACTTTTACCGTAGTTCCAATTCCGTCTCTGTGATTATTTCATTGCTGCCTTGTCGTACTTTAAACATTTCGCTGATGCATTTTCGAGAAATTAAAGGAGTGGATTCCACTTGGTTCTCGCACTTAACCCTATTTTTATATATTTTTCTACCGCCTGTTGCTACCTGAGGCTTTTGTTTCCATTGCCTGACTTTTGCAATTAGGTTAATGGCTCGCTTTTGTGACGTATTTTTAGACGCTTGTGCAAGTTATACAAATATGTAAACATTAAGTCAAAAGCTGAACTCGGAGGTAACTGCTGACCTTAGCTTTATAATTGCAATTGAGCAGAATAATGAAAAGAAAGGAGACAAAAATATGCATTTAGGAAATGTGGTGGATAGATACACAATCAGATTGTATCGCTAAATATTTAAATGACTTGGGTTTTTCCTTTCAATTTCCAATTTAAATGAATACATAGATTCCAATCAGTTTTAACGACTTCCCTACAGCGACAATTGATCATTTGCCTACTTCATTATCGGCTTGACATCATCCAGGGAGTGTAATATAATACCAAATACCAACAGACAGCTTCCTGCCACAACGTCCTTGTCTCATCCAAGGGTTAATTCAAATTTCAACAACTTTGACGCATACAAAGCGATTTGTGTGAAAATTGAGGAAAATCCGAGGAAAAGAAAAGAAAACAAAGAGCTAAGCGGCATGCCAGCAGGAGGAAACATTTGTTTTCTGTCAAATTTGCCTTTAATAATAATACACCATCAACATATTTCTTTTCTTTTACCTCTCTCCCTAGCTCTCACACTTTTCTCTGAATTTTTTTTAAGTTTCTACCCCCGCAAGAGTAAAGAAAAACCTCACCGTATTGGAAACTGTTGATTAAATTTCATAAAAAAAAACAACAAAAACTGATACTAAAATGATTGATTGACGGATAGATGGATGGAAGGCTAGCTAGATAGATTGATGAATGTTTTGTTCGAGGGGATTGGGCCTAAGTGCATTGAGCCTATAGAAGAACTGTACAATTTGCTGCGAACTGTCGGTCGGTTGATTTTTATCTTTCCTAATTTTTTTTATTTTAATTTCGCTTTATTATACCCTTGCAGAGGGTATTATAATTTTGGTCAGAAGTTTGTAACGCAGTGAAGGAGACGTTTCCGACCCTATAAAGTATATATATTCTTGATCAGGATCACCTCCTGAGTTGATATAGCCATGTCCGTCTGTCCGTCTGTCCGTCTGTCCGTCTGTCCGTCTGTCCGTCTGTCCGTCTGTTTCAATACCGTTTGCGAGCTCAGTTTAAAAGCTAGCGATCTGAAACTTTCACACTCGTCCTAAAACATGTGTACGCAGATCAAGTTTGAAAATCGCCCCGATCGGACGTCTATATCCTATGGCTCCCATAGGAACAATCGGATATATCTTTCAAGAATTGATGATATTTCGCGCAGTGTAAAAGCTATTGACATGAATCTTTCCAAATCGTATTTTTTTATGCATACCTTGATCAGGGTAAAAGCGCGTGGCGATCGGACGTCTATATCCTATAGCTCCCATAGGAACAATCGGATATAACTTTCAAGAATGGAAGATATTTCGCGCAGTGTAAAAGCTATTAACATAAATCTTTCCAAATCTTATTTTTTTATGCATACCTTGATCAGGGTAAAAGCGCTTGGCGATCGGACGTCTATATCCTATAGCTCCCATAGGAACAATACGGTGAAATCGGTTAAAATTTAATGATTTTTAGGATATTTCGCACAGTATATAAGCAATTGACATGAATCTTTCCAAATCGTATTTTTTTATGCATACCTTGATTAGGGTAAAAGCACGTGACGATCGGACGTCTATATCCTACAGCTCCCATAGGAACAACAGGGTGAAATCGGTCCAAATTTGTTGGTTTTCTGAATTTTTCGCGTAGTGTGTAAGCTACTGACATACATTTTTCCAAGTCTTATTTATTTACGCATATCTTGATTAGGGTAAAAGCGCTTGCCGATCGGACGTCTATTTCTTATAGCTTCCGTAGGAAAAATAGTTAAAGGCTGCGAAAGTATCCCTTTTTTTCCATTTTTATATGACATTTTTGCAGTATAAAAGCAATTGACATCAAACGACGCAAATCTAGTTTATTTATGTATATCTTATTCCTTTCGCTACTTTTTCAGTTTTAGCAACTTCGGCAAAGTCTGCAAGGGTATTAAAACTTCGGCTTGCCGAAGTTAGCTTCCGTCCTCGTTTTTGGTTAAAAACATTTGAAACATTTTTAGCACAGCGACGGACAAATTGAAAATAGCCTGCAGGCGAGCTGCAGCGGTGTGGCAGTGTCGCGGCTGCATACCGCAACGCATTTCAGCTCGAACCGCAACGAAATGAAGATGAATTACCCACAAAATTTCACCACAACAACATCGCTGCGTCGGTCGGTCCATGCAAATTGCGAATTGCAAATCACAAATAAATTTTGCTTCGAGAAATTTGCACTCAGTCGATCAAGCGGTCGCTGCCGCTATAAAGTGCAGCCTCAGCCACCGACATCCACCAGATACAGATACATAGGTACAGATCCAAGTGCACAATATAAATGCGTTTGCCAAGAAATCCACGCAAAACCCAAAAGAAATAAAAAACAAAATACAAAAATCAGAGAGAGAGAGGAAAAGAAAACGATGTGTCGCCGTCATGAAGATGAAGATGAAGAAATTGCCGCTGGGTTGAGTCGCAATCGCAATGAACTGCAAGTTTCAGAGTCTCAGATAAAGAATCGAGGTAGTAAAAATAGCAAGAAATATAGCCAGATTCAGCCAGACAGGCAGTCAGAAGGAGAATGACAGTCTGGGAGACAGACAATTGAAGTATGCATTGGCGTTTGCCAAACTGCCCTCAAAGGATTGCTCAAAATGAAATATGGCAAGCAAAGTTTGTACAGAGCAACTGAAACAACTTGATGAAGAAATATTCACAGCAGGAATTCAAAATCTAACAGAAACCATTTAAGTCGGGCTTAGAGAGCTTTAAACTTATATTCCATCGAATGCATTACTTAGTTTTAAAGCAAACATTAACCTTACAGGAAGTGCCTCAATGGCACTATCAAAACTTCAAACGCATTACTTAAATATTTATAACCGAAACCGTTAAGGAAAACTTCGACACAATATTTTATGAGAATTCAGCTACATGATAATATTATTGAAACTTTATACAACAAACCGTAACAATAACTTGCACCTTATTGTAAAACTATCGCCGTAACATATATTGCAATATAAAATTTGCAAAAGCTTTAAAAGTCACGGTTATCTTCCAATAACTGCAATAACAAATTATTTGATAGCCTGTGTTTACAATGAAATATAAAAACAGATTGACATAGAAATCTTCACGCTTTTCTCCTACTCGGAATTTGACAAGATGATCCATTCGCAGCATTTGCTCAGCTCATTTGCTGCTGTCCAATGTCCCAGGTAACTAATCAAGAACTTTCTCAACAGCCCCAGAACTGTCCATCTCTCTAGCCGGCATCCATATGCTGGTGTCCTTCATTTCTGGGAGACTTGCGGCATCATCA